CTACCTTATCAACTAGAACCTCTAAAAAAAAAAAAAAAAAAAAAAAAAAAACTGATCATCCCCCCCCCCATTCGGCCCCCCCCCCCCTCTCACTCACTCCCCCCCCCCCCCCCCCCCACACAACCTAAAACGGCCCCGCGCAGCCCCACCCCCCCTCCACCACACCACCCGGGCGCGACCCCACGCACCCCTGCCGACGCGAAAGCAGTTCCTAATCGGACCCACCGTAGCCCAACACTCAGACAACAAGGTCCGACGGGACGGAACACCGGGAACTCACACGAGAGGAGGAAGACGATGCTTCACCGCGAGCCGAACGTGTCAAGTTGGAGTTCAAGAGTTCCGGTGTGACGCCCTGCGCAGGTTCTGAACGCCAAGGCGGAGCGGTTACCCCAGGGCCAGTCTCCGCTTCTGACAGACGGCGGGTATGGGGTAAATGATCACCGACCGTTTGTTCAGATGAATCTTTATATCAGGACGGTACGTCTGAGACTGGGATCAAGACCAGGAACCCGATCCAGGTTTATGCAATCAACCATATCGGTGTTTATGTCACTGTTTGTATTTTCTTCACCCAAAGTCAATTTGCCAATCTCCTAACACAGCTGAAATCGACTCGAAGATCCAGTCTCGTTATGGAAAAGTCGACTTCCGCGTCATGAATACAGTGCCGCAGTCAGAGCATTTTGTTTATCCTTTGTATTCACCATCAATACTCCCTACTCACGACGAGCGTCCGGCGAACGTGCTTAGCCGCCGCCGGAACGACCATTGACCACAAGGCCGGTGAATGTGTTCAAGTCGGTTTCCCCAATGGCGAGGGTGGCACACGATGTCTGAAAAGTTTAACAGACTTCCTCGGGCAAACTCTCGTCTAGTGCGACGGCGGCGTCTCTACGAAGCTTCAGGTGGTATCCCTGAGGTCGCGAATCGACGACCAGGTCTCTTTCGAATACCCGGAAGGTAATATTGTGTTTCTTCAGTGCCTGAGCCAAGCACAGACCGCTGATCCCAGCGCCCATGATGAGGACTGGCCAGTCTTCCGTGGCTGGCATGAATGGCTTCTTGATGTGGCCGAATTCGTTGAGGCTTCCAGGGCCAGAGGATTGGATTTGGACGGTCAACAGTCCCATGACGCCGTCATCAGGTTGACGCGAGTGCTCAATCTCTATCCCCACATCGTTCAGCAGAGCCTTCCAGTTTTCCAACTCTCGCCCTCTGGCGTTGAAGACTTGCATCATCATTAGGTCTCAAACTCTCAGCTGCTGCTCGTGCTGAAGAGTCGTTGACCCGGGGGGTGGCAGAAAAGTGTCCATGATGACGATGCGGGCTTTAGGGTTTGACTCCGGAGCCGTTTGAAGGTTTTTGCAAAATGATGCGGGCGTCTCTGTCCAGCCAGTCGTGCATGATCATACGAAGAAAGTACATGTGGGCATCCAAAACTGTTCGAGGCCTGGGAAAGTCTGAAGACATGAACTGGATGTGCAATTTGACTGCCGGATCGATGCTGGTGTCGGCGATAAACGCCCTCTGAACAATTGTCACAGTCTCCAGCAGGTCTTGCACAATATACTTCAAGTGAGGGAATTCCGGCGGGCTCGCATGGGATGTCGCTGATAAAATCACCAGCAAGCATGAGATATCGAATTCTACCAGGCCGCTCGATTCCTGGTCTCGCGCGGTGACTGGATCCAGCCGAAAGATCCTGGCCGATGCCTTGCTGCATTACGCAGCGGAGGCGGGCCTCACTGTGACGACCACCCCTTCCTTTTCCGCCATTATCAGCACTACTAATCAAGCAACTGCCTCTATCCCTCCAGAAGTACTCTCAGCATTCTTTGCCTCGGCCACTGGCAACTCTGTTGCACCTATATCAGGGGAGTTCATCCGGAATGTTGAGAATCTTCTCATGGGAATCGCGGCGTATGACATGAGGGGGAAATGGGTGCACGTATGTAGCGCCAGAGCTACATCGCTTGTCGGTTCTACGTCCCTTGGGAGTCTTTTCACGAATATTCTTACTTTCGCATCACGAGCTCTTGGGAATCTTCCCGAAATTGGTCGGGGAGACCAAATCTATAAGCTCCCTCCCAGCCCGTTCCTGGATAGTGCTGTCAGCAGCTTTGAAACCCTGGGTGACGTGGTTGAACTCGTCGCACGTGCGCACGTCCATGACTGGAACGAGCTGTCTATTGTACTTGGCGGGCTGAAAGCCGAGAATAGCGATCATTTGCACGGGGAATGCCTCGTATTTGGGGGGCGGTTGATGGTAGTCAACATAAGCCTCAACGGACTCTAGCTTCTGGGTAAAGTGAGGCATGGTTGTTGAGAGATGATGGTATAGTGCAACGACTAGAAGGCTGAGTGTTTCTGAGAGAAATGATGATTCGCTAGCCGCAGAGGCCAGTGGAAAGTGAGAATATCAGTCTCGCTTCAAATAGGTCCTCAACCCCGTGTATTCGGTGAATGCAGACAAGCAAGGAGCAAAGCGGAAACTTTCACGGAAAAGGGCTCCCCAGGAGTACGAGGAACCGGTCAAAACCCCACATCAACTGATTGAGACTCGGCCGGCGACAAGGCCAATCCATAAGCTTCTCAGGCCGTCACCACTAAATAATTCCCATTCACTTTTACGACTGAGCTTTGCCGTCCATTAAAGCAAAGACCTCCTTGGTGCCGAAATCAAGCCCCAGGAAAACAAAAATGGGCCGGGCCTCGACACATCCATTTAGAGTTTCGAAATGCCATCAATGAGTATGATTGGCCAATTCCAGATCGAGTTTGCCTACTTGGGTAATACGGCCCCAGCTATCCGTATTACCGTTCGGAGAACCGTGCGCGGTCACTATTCGCCGGTAAACCAGTTGCCGGTGCCCTCCCTTCTCCCATAGCTGCGTTGAATTCATACATGTGGTCGTCTTTTATTTTCGGGGTGAAAAAGGAGCTGGGAAGCGTTGTACGGCCCAGCAGGATTGTAAAGCTCTGCCTCCCTTCGAATTACATATCACCGAACCCCATGATCGCGATTCGTCTTTTCTTCCGGTTCTGTGTTCCCAGTGAAGTAAAAAACATTCGATCGATCCAGCGCCAGATATCTGATATTCAGCCTATCCGGGAAGTCTGCCTTATGAAAACACTTTGTAAACGCCCATACCCTTTTAAATGCCACAGAACATTTCTGGTCCGACTTGGACCACAACTGGTTTACAATTCCCGGCTTTAATGCTGGAAAATAACTCTAGATAGTCTCATTCCTGGGAATCCCGTGGGAGTAGTAAGTCTGGAATGAGTCAAATAAAGAATCTAAGGGAAAAAAACAAGCCTGACGACCTTGTCCATGGTGCACATCCCCATAGTCAAAGGTCTCTCTTCATTGTCAAAGACTTCTTTCCGAGTCAGCTCCATTCGTCAAGACACATATTGCCAAGACCTCGTCACTCAAAGCATACGACGTCCCAGTTCTTCTGGACTATCTTCACCAAACCAAAGCGCCCGTCTTCCCAGCTCTTGTAGTCAAGCTTCACAACCGCAAAGCACACAGGACCAAGACCCCGGAGAAGCTCAAGAAACATACCTTACTTCAACATGCCTTACATTCCCAACCTGCCGCAAATCCCTGACCGCTACGCCGCGGCCCACGCCAACCCCGAGGGCTAGGGTGACGCTCGCCCGACTGCACTTCAAATCATCCAAGATGAGAGTCTGATTGGCAAGCTGGATGATAAGGTCGTGTTGGTGGCTGGCGGCACCAACGGCTTTGGTCTTGAGATCGTTCGGCATCCAGCCAAGACTGGCATGAATGTCTTCTTCCCATCTCATACTTCATTAGTTGGTGTTCTCATGTTAATACTATATGTCGACTTTCAAGTTGTTATTCAAGCATTTCAAACCACATCTTTTCTACACTCACTGTTTGATCAATCCATAATCATCCAACAATGTCGCGCCCTGAAAGTCTCGGGGGTCCCCTCAAGAAGGAATGGCAATCTACCGAAGCTGTAGGGGGAAATTCTTAGCTGGCAAGCAGTATGAAGGGCAGCGACGACTTGACAGGTACGGCCAAATCGCAAGAGAAGAACGAGCCCGGAAACAATGCCTATGAGCCTCCATGCCCGACGGGCATCCAGCTGGGACTCATAGTCTTTGCGTTGTATGCAGCTTTGCGCCGACGTCGGTCGCCTTGATCATTGGGCCTGTCATGGGTATGTCATCGAGTTTGCGTCTTGTTCCAAACCAGTCATTGATCGTGTTTTGGGAGGAACCACCACATAGAGAGCCTCTTGGAGGTGGTGCTTCTATTATGAGTCCTGCTCTGTATCTAAATGTTTGGATACAATCATCTGACCACAAGAGTCAAATTGCCGGTCGGAGGTGTTGTGGTCGCCGTCGTCATCTCCTGTTTACCCTCTTCCCTATGCCGAATATCTACGGAGCTGAAGAGCATGACGCTGGTTCAGTTGGCGAAGAAGTTCGATCTTCTCGGCGCCACTCTTCTGCTCGCTTCCCTGGTCTGCCTACTGTTGGCTCTGCAGTGAGGTGGCGGCGATTATACTTAAATGTCGCGCGCGTCATAGCAGTTTTGGTTGTGTTCGCTGTTACTCTGCTCCCGTGCATGTCTCTGCAATACTTCCAAGGCGACGATGCCACTGTGCCTCTCAGCATCGTCAAGCAACGGTCCGACGCAGCTTCGAACCTGTACTTACTCTTCTTGAATGGAGCTTTTGGTTTCTTCATATTCTATCTGCCTGTCTGGTAAGTTCCAAAAACGCCAGCTGAGCATACTTAGCCATCATGTGATGCTTACACGCAGTCCTTGTTCCAATCGATTCGAGGAGATAACGCCGAATCTTCTGGACTCAAGCAGCTGGCAATTTGCATCAGCACGGCTGTTGGTTCAATTCTAGCCGGGTGACTTGTCATGGCCATTGCTTTCTATGATCTATTTGTGATCCTGGGTTTCATCTTGGTCACAATAGGTTCTACACTTTTGCTGACCATCGAAGCTGATGATGCTCTTAGTATACTGTAAGTTTGATCAAAAAGCACGCTGAATATTCTCTAGGCGACTGATGATATTTCTCTTGGGTCGGCGCTGAGATCCTAGTCGGTGCTTGCGTCGGTGTCGGTGTCGGTGTCGGTGTCGGTGTCGGTGCCGAACAAGCCAACATAGCCGTTCAGACAATCCTCTCCAAAGAAAAACTTGCCAAGGGTACGAATCTGCCACTATTCACGAGGCTTCTAGGAGAGGAGTAGCCTTGTCAGTTCCCATAGCAAAAAGCGTATTTCAACAAGAGCTCTCTGAGAACCTGGGTGGTTCCGTCTTTTCGAATATTGACGCCGACGGCGGAGCAAATCAGATCAAGGACAATCTGCAAAAGAAATTTGGAAACGGTACCACCATATGCCAGAATGCTTTGGACAAGGTCAACACTTCCATGACAAGTACATTCATGCTAGCCATCATCCTGGCCGCGATCTCATTCCTGTTTGCAATTCTCTGGGAGTGAAAGAATGTCAAAAAGGAGAAGAAGTCATTTGACGACGCAAAGGAACAGAAGAGCCAGCCCGAGAAGTAGATTAGCGGATACCGTGAGAGATATCTGAGCTTGGATGTATACTAGTACATGAAAGCCGTTTTCATCAATTATGTTGGCTGAATACAGACACAATTTACCAATAATACAAGCACCAAGAACTTTTGAATCCCTGGGACGGAGCTGCTTCTCAATTTAAGACCTATTCAATGGTAGCTGCTTTGGTCAGTCTTGGACAGTGAAATTCCATTTTAGAAGCACTCTGGAAAATGATATGTTTTGGAACAGACTGTCTCCAAGGAAACTGTATCCAAAGTATTCATGACCAACAAACTTGCTGCCCCACCAGGACTTACAAACCCGTTCGTCGTAAGACCAGTCTACCAACGTCATCCTCACATCTAGAGCTAAGGCTAGATTGAGAAGATGTCTAGGGCGAGTTCAAGGCCGCGGAATTAAAACTGTTCGGGGTTGGAAGGTTCGTTGCCGCCTGAAGTAAACCTAGCCGTCATGAGTCTTCATAAACACAGTATTCTACACTGTCACACATCGGGACTGCGTATATCCTACTAATTCGTTAATGTCATTGGTTTGATATTGTGCCATTCGAGAATTGGGTGAAGGGAGATAATCTAAGGTTTGTCCTACTTTGACCGAATTGCGAATTACCGTTTCCTTCTTCAAAATGACGAGAGGGCTCGAATGTTTCACAGTCAATGTTCAAGACTCCCGCAATGGTCTTGAGAACCGAATTGGATTGCATCTTGTTTCCAAACCTCGAAGGCTTGGCTAGGAAGACGGGCCCACCTCACTGGTTCAGGTATATGACCGGGAATCGAAGTTAAGCTCGGTTCGGGGAATCGGGTTTGGCACCGCGAACAATCAGCAAATCGACGACGAATCCAGGGGAAACTCATTGGATGACAGAACTCATCCCAAATCGTTCGGACTCGGTACCGGGTCTTGGTGAGAATCGAAATTTGCCAGACGAGCGATTTGTGTATGTTTCAGTGCTGATGATCAGTTGCATTACCGTCTCTGGAGCCTTAACTGCCAGCCTATTTAATTCTCTGACCTTTCAGCTTATAAGCAAAAGTTTTATATGTACCTATTGTTAGCCTGTTCGCTGCCTTATTGGATTTCTTATACTGGTTTTTGAACTCTAGACAGCCCGACTAGCTGCTGTTGCAACTGTCATGAATGGGTGATCACCTGACA